ACTGTTAAAAGGCCTTCTATCTAATTAGCTAATTTTTTTAGATCAACTATTTTTTGATTAAACATTTCAATGTAAATTACGAGGTGTGTAAAAAATGTTGTATTGAAATCACTAATCCAGGTGGTCATCGAAAAAACATCACAAAACTCTTCGCTTCTAAGTTATTCTATTAGCAAAACCTGGTATTACAACATCTTTGGCGAAACGAACAGTACAGTCAAGCAGTACAATCCAATGAAACCCATCAAATGTGACTACAAATTGTTGTGTCTAGCAGACCATAAGGCATATGTCAGACGTTTATCAAGGGACAGATGCTAAAACTCCTGAGAAATATACATAAATAGTTTATTTTGATGACTTTATTGTCAGCGATTATAAGAAATTTAAAGGTGGAGTAGATCATATAGACCAGTGGCGATCAACTTATGGACTAACATAAATCGAAGATCTAAGAACTGGTGGCATCGTATTTTTTGGGGACTTCTGGATAACCTTTTTGCAAATGGTTATATTGTCAAGGTGTAAGATTAATGTAAGATTAATTGTTAAGGCTTTGAGTGTAATGGAAAAAACAAAGAAGAGGAATAAACCAGAGTGGCTAACAGAAGAAATACAGGAACTAATTAAGCAAAAAAATCTTTGAAATGGCTCACCAATAGAACGAAGAGATATATAAAACAAAAAATAAAGAAGTAAGACAAAAGTAAAAATCAATACTGGGAATGAAAGTGTATCCAGGTGGATAGTCTGAATTGGGGGATTGCGAGCTACGAAGTGTGGTAAACAATTAAAAGTATGAAAGTAAATGAGAAAAATACACCAGATTACATAATCTCTATCCGGGAATGGGAAAAACATTATACAAAACTATTACAAGATACAGAGTATCAAGACGAACCTAATGAAACAAATGATGACAGCAATCTGATGATAATACAAGAGGACGAGGTTGAAAAGTGTTTAAAACAAATGAAAAAAATTAGATTGCCTGGACCTGGAAACGTAGCCATAGAATTAGTTAAGTATGGGGGAAAAGTACTTATCAATAGATTGAATGAATAACTGCTGTAGATTGCGACAAGTGCCCCAGGAATGGAAAACCTCTTATAGATGTTCTTTTTCTGAATAAAAAATTCTTATAACACAATATCCCATTCTTTGTCTTTCTTAAGATATGATACGATAGGGTTAAGGGCAGGCTTTGCTTATGTACTACTTTAATTTGACACATAAACGGCAATTTGAACAACTCTATTGAATTTTGTCTCTTAATAATGCTTTATGGTCCTAATCACTTATATGGTCCTGCTGTATGGTTAATACGATTTTAGCGCTAATGCTGCAAGACTACAATATTCTGAGCAATTTCCCTACGGCCGCGCCGGTTGCCAAATGTACAAATATTTATTAATGGAGTTCAAAGACTTCGAGAAACTGCTCAGTTACAGCCCAAAATGGAAGATCACGGTCCTCAAAAAGATTTCACTCATGAAGATGAAATTTTGGAACGTATTGAAAACAATCTTTCTACGAGTACCTGGCAAATGAGCAACACCTTAAATACATATCTGTTTACAGAATTTTACATCATAATTTGCGAAGTTGCATTTACGAATTAAAAATGCCTTGGAATGTTCAGTTCGGCAGATATTATTGCGCAGAACTGCTGCCTGTATGGAAAGTGAAGGATGTTTTTAACGTCAGCAAGTTTCTTGATTAAAACCAAAATTTTGGAAAATGTTCACATTAGAGTGATAAAACAGAAGTGATAAAAATTTGTATTCGTATAAAATAAAAAAGACGTAGATAAAGACAACTTCAGAAAATATCTCAAAAATGACTTTTATATGTCAAATTAAAGCTATCTATATACATAATCAAAGCCTGCTTAGTATAATTCTTTATCCGGCAGTATTCAAACTTGTGAACTGTTAACTTTAACGTATCATATTTTAAGAAGTACAAAGAATGGGGCATTTTGTTATAAGAATTTTTTTATTCAGAAAGAGGAGACCTATAAACCCTCAAATTTTTTCTACTCATACCTGATACATCCTGTATAAGACCAATTTTTAAAAAGGAAGTAGAACAGACCTAAATAACTATAGAGGTCTCATTGTTACTGTAACAAGCAGCATAAGTAGACTTTTTGGAAAAATTCTGCAAAATAAATTAAGAGCGGATATAGGAAATAAATCTGGGGATGATCAGAGCGGTTTCATTCCCGGTAGATCATGTATCTCTTGTAATCTCTCGACTCTCGACTGTCGCTCTCTTGAAATTACAACAATTAGCGGAACAGAAAATAAGCAAAGAAATTATGGGAAGCACTAAATATATTAGAAACAAATAAACAACTAATTGACATAATGAAGGAATTTTATCGAAATAATTTAACCTATATTAAAACTAAACAAAGAACGACAGCTCCCATAAAAGCAACAAGAGGATTACGACAAGAATGTAGTTTACCGCCGATGCTCTTTAACGCATATGCAGAAGTTGTTCTAAAAGAGTGGTAAAAAAACGACCAAGGGATCAATAAATAACCGCCGACTTTTTCACTACAATTTGCGGATGACCAGGTAGTGTTGGCGCAGGATGCATGTGATTTACAATTTATGATGAAGAGACTATACACCGAATAAAAGAAGTGGGAATACATACAGTGTGATTCTCAACCTGTACGCATAAACTTGGAGATTTGTTCCTCGAGACAAATAATGGGTAATATGTGAAAAAAATTGTAGTAAAAAATTTTTAGTTTCATAGGTATCTGATATATGCGGCGACATCTAGATAAGATGCTTCCCAGTAGATGGACAGGTAGAGGTAGTCTATTGACCTGGCTCATCTCGATCGCCCGACCTCAATCCTCTTAATATTTACTTTTGAGGCTACTTAAAAAACATAGTATACGTTACCGAAGTTAATACTGATCAAGAATTGCGAAATCAGATACAAACTGCTGCCGAGATAATCACTATCATATCATCTCCAAAGTGTACAAAGTAGTTTTTGCTTCCAGAAATCATCCTACACAGCAACACCAAATTATCTCATCTGTTTAGAACTGATAGCACCATACTTATTTCATCTTTTACAAAAAAATGTTTACATACATTTGAGTCTCACGTCCTTCTGAATGCAAGAGTTGACTACACAAATGATGCACGAAATTTAGTAACGAGATGAAGAATGAGATGTACAGATCACGTAATGTTGAGAACATCGAAAAGAATCAGACAAAAGTTCGGCGAAAAAACGTCATGCAGCCTTCCTCTGTTTCGTTGATCTAACCAAAACGTTCGACAAAGTAAGGATAAAAGAATTAGAATAGGGCAAACATTACAAGGTAATGTTAAGGTTATGTAATGTAAACTATGAACGATTACAAAATCAAGATTGTGTGCTATGGAAATGATGCATCTTGGTTGATACTGAGGATGCCATACAGTGGTTAACACAGGGATTTAACATTGCAGCTGAGGAAATCAATACTAAGGAAGTTAATACTGAGCAAGGATTACGAAATCAGATACAAACTGTAGCCGAGACTATCCGCCAACATCTTGGTTTAGGCCGCGCTAGTGGGACATCGTGAATTCAGCGAGCCCAAGTGTGTATAGAAAATATGCTACAATTTCCTTCACCTATTACTCCTTATTTGTCATGAGGAATAAATCCCCAAGTTTATGCGTACAGGTTGAGAATCACTCTGTATAAGCTTAAAAAAGACAGAACTAACTAATTATCTAGTCATTCATAGCGATGCCAAATTTCAAATATTAATTACTAATGACACAACAATTAATCAAGTTGAGGAATTTAAGTATTTGGGAGTAATTATAGATAAAAATGGTATAGGGGAAAGAGAGATAATACATATAGATCTGAAAGCAGGAAAATGTATGCCTTAACAGTCTATGGTGGGACAAGAACATAAGAAAAGAACCTAAAAAGAGAGTAGGATGAAGACTAGTAGAGTCAGCCCTGGGCTATGGTAGTGAGATATAGGTAGTAAACGCAGATCTAGAAAGATGGCTTCAGGCGGTCGAGATAGACTATTTTTTAACCTATTTAACACGCAGGGTTGCATTCAAAAAATAACGGAAACCAAGTTTATGGAAACTAAGAAATTATGTCTGGCACGTTAAAAGTAGATTAAATTTACTTTAAAATATTTATTAGTCCATTAAAATATATCAATTACTTTTTGAGATACGATTTTTAAAATTTTCTGTTACACTATCCAACATGCAGGATTATATTCAAAACAATAGTAAGTAGGATTATGAAAACTAAGAAATTATTAATGATATTCTAAGCCTGCATGAAATTTGCTTTAAAATATTTATTATTGCATTATACCTAGTATCTCAATTAGTTTTTAGTGCTATTTTAGTTCGTTATAATGATTCAATTTTAATAGAAACGAAGCATATACAAAAATATTATGGAATATTTTTATCGACAACCATTAGGGTATGTCTAGAACGAAGTCGTAAAACCAACTTTTTGCAGGTATGCCTACCTAATCAAAAAAAACTCATAAAGTGTGAACGGGACCGAGCAGATTTAATCATAAGACAGGGCAAATTGAACTCGTGATATTGGAGAGTAAAAAAATCCGAAACGAGGACAACTAAATAGGTTTGACTCGTAATATTGAGAATATAATCTAGTATTTGCAGTTTATGTATATGAATGATTTTTATTCGCAACTAAAATCGGGTTAATCATTTTGCCACACCATGTGTTAGTAAAAAATTAATCTATTTTTGGTTGCTTTAATCACCAAAATGAGTTACGAATCGCACATAATCTACATTTAAAATTGCTCACTAGTTGAGTGTCCTAACATAAACCACTGCTAATCCTCGATTTCGCGATATTAATTACAGTTAATAATTTATTTGTTTAAATTATTAAAATATTTGGATTCTCCCCTTTATTTAACAAATTGCATGGATATGACTAATAAATTATGAACTTACCTATTGTTGCCATTGCAGCTCCTAAAACCATAAGTAACAATCCAAGACTAAGAGCTTTGCACGCATTCCACAGACATTTCCCGTTCACCTTTCCCCGTACGACTTGCACGTTCCATTGAGCTCCGGAAGCGGGATGTGCTCTTCTAACAACCCCCGAACCAGCAACACCACCCCTAGCCCATCCGCTTCCAAGAAAAGCCCTTTGATGCATCTTTCAGCACACTTCTGAAATAATAACAAGAATAAAAGAAATTTACGAATACACCCAATTTTATTATTGAATATAAAAATAATGAATTTTCTTTGTGTTGTCGTTACTTGCGAAAGAATAAAAAATTTCATTATGGAGTCGTATTATATTCGCGAACCGTTGTTATGGAAGGTGTCGTAAAAGAAAACGGGTTGTTTAAAAATTCAAATATAATTCATAATATATGGTGATGTATTATAGGTATACTCCTTTTATTATTTCGGGGTAATTGTTGAGTTGAGTTTATTGTGAAAGTTAATTAGACGAGTTAATTGGGTTTTAGTTTTAACTTTGCAGTTTAATTAAGATTTTTTTGTTTATGAAAAGAAACGGTTTTGCAAATGAAGTTTTTTAATGTTTATAAACTTGTAGTAATTCATTATTATTATTCTATTTTAAATGGAATATAACAATGATATAGGTAAGGTTAAATTGAATTAAAGGAAAATCGTGTTAATCAATGTCAAATCACTATCAAGTAAATAATAATACATAATTACATTAGAATTACAAATTTGAGGTCGTTGTTCTTGGAAACACAAAAGCTTTTCGTCGTCGGCGTCAATTTTGGGTCTATTGAAACCCTGCGAACCACCCCGAATGGATTCGAAGACGCGCCAACAATACCCCTCTTTAGAAGAAGAGGTTGCCATAAAGTTTTCCTACGTTGTTGGAGTAAAACTAATTAATTTCAGCGCCACGTTCTGCGAAAACCTCAAAGGAGTAAGTACTCGGTACTCTTCTTCGAGAAGAACTCGAGAACTCTCCTAACGTTACAAATACGGGGGTTCTAATTATTAAACAATAACTCAGAAATTTACATAGGGTCAAAGAAATATTCGCAGAGAATATATTTTTGTTCATTTATATTCAATTATCTTTTTACGTCGACGCTGAAAAATGTTATGAAGCAAGAAAACAAAGTGAAAGATTAATGGATGTCTTGTTTAAGACAAATTACTTTTCGAGAATATTGTAATAGTTGATCTAAAGGATTTTTAACATATTAAATTTTCATTAAATTATAATAAAATCATTTGAAACGAATATGGGCTAAATATGGCGTGATTACTTCTCATTAAAATAATGCAAAAAAGCACGATTATTATAATCATTATAATTCCCAACTATTTTTTTTTTAATTTACATTATTTCAAATCATATATTCTTATTTTATTATTAAATTTCGTCTTAAAGTAACGTTGTAAAAAAATATCTCCATTATTATTAATAATTTATTTTTACATTACCTTATCTTTTCGTTTTTATTTCTTCAATTTTTTTTTATCGTTTTACCCCATGGAATTGTTTGATGGTTGCTAGTACAAAATAGCACTGAACGTTTTTCGGTGAAAAATCACGCGAAACCGTCACTAAAACTACCACCACCAGGAGATAATAGCGACGTTCGGCTTCTGACTCGTTCTGTATTTGTGTCAACTTCGCTCAGCATCCGTTAGGAGTCCGGCAACAGGTACTAAAATCATGCGCGCATCGATTCCACCCAATGTATCGATCCAAACGAGCTCCAACGACAACATCTTTTCTACCACAACTCTTTTTCTTCTTCACCTACAACAAACCCTCTTTTCATCTTCTCCCTATTTTACATTTCTCCACTTTTTTTTTCTGTTTTTTGTTTTATTCCATCTCAACAAGAAAAGGGGACTACTCTCAAATCATTAAGTATTTTGTTGCAATTATGTATTAGGTGTTGATGATTTGAATGTACTGATGATGGATTTTCTTTGACTAACTACTACTTTTCACGTTAGCCTGCAGACTTATCTGTTTGATAAAAGATGATGGTAGATCCTCTTTTTGCGTCTGAAACGTGTCCTCTTAGTGATGTATCTAGAGAGGGTTGTTCGTTCTGGAGGGTACTTATTCGTTTCGTTAATAAGAAGGGGTGAACAGTCAGATCGTCAAGTAGAACGAAAAGAAAAAGGAATAATAATAATGTTTCTTTGCATTAAAACAAAAATAGTCACAATGAAAATTAGTCTATTAAATTAATTAAACGTTTCATGGTAGTATCGACAAATATGAAATGCAAAAACTACAGATACCTACTACTCGATTCAGCCATTGTATCTCCTGTTATATTATATAGGGTGTACCTGAATGACTGCAACAAACTTCAAGGGATGATTCTCTAGTGAATTTAAGGGTTTTTAAGGGTTTAAGGGTAATTTTAAGGGTACTTTGATATATAAACAATGGGCGACTTCGGCTCCCCTAAGGAGCTACACCTCTCCAAAAATGCCGGAAAGTTTTGGTTTAATTTCTTTTTCTCAAAAACCATAAACGCTAGGAAAATGAAATTTAGGGAATATGTTTAACTCATAATAGGGCACGTTTTGATGCTATTTGTACTTTCAACCTACCCTTCTAAACTACTAAACGTAACCACCCCCTTTACATTTTTGCTAAAATTTTTTTATGCAGAGGGTAAATACATTAAAAAAAAATTACATAGGTAGATGAAAGTATCCTAAAACTTTTTTGTCTCTCTAAAATTTTTCCAAAAACGACTAATTTTTGAGAAAAAAAATAATAAAGCAAACACTGCCCGTTAAACAACGGGGTTGTCGATCAAAAGTTGGAATGAATTTTTAATGAAAAAATCTTAGTAGGCTTTGCAATCTTTGTCAGAAATATTTTTGACGTTTAAATGTCAGTGGTTTTCTTACTATTATTATTGTTTTATTTAAAATTTTGAAACGTCGAGTGAACGAGCGTAAATGCGATAGAACTTTATTCAAAAATTAATTTGAAAAACAATAATAATAGTAAGAAAAACACTGACATTTAAACGTCAAAAATATTTCTGACAAAGATTGCAAAGCCTACTAAGATTTTTTCATTAAAAATTCATTCCAACTTTTGATCGACAACCCCGTTGTTTAACGGGCAGTGTTTGCTTTATTATTTTTTTTCTCAAAAATTAGTCGTTTTTGGAAAAATTTTAGAGAGACAAAAAAGTTTTAGGATACTTTCATCTACCTATGTAAAATTTTTGCAAAAATGTAAAGGGGGTGGTTATGTTTAGTAGTTTAGAAGGGTAGGTTGAAAGTACAAATAGGATCAAAACGTGCCCTATTATGAGTTAAACATAAAAAGAGAAAAAGAAATTAAACCAAAATTTTCCGCCATTTTTGGAGGGGTGTAGCTTCTTAGAAGAGCCGAAGTCGCCCATGGTTCATATATCAAAGTACCCTTAAAATTCACTAAAGAATCACCCCTTGAAGTTTGTTGCAGCCATTCAGATACACCCTGTATACATTTATTAACATACGCCATCTAGTGAGTTGTTTAGTTTCGATTATTTGTATATTTTTACAATTTTTTTGATTGTTGCATAAATTGGCCTTTTACTGCATATTTTCGCATATTTTGTCATTTTACTAGATTTGTTTCTTGTTGCTTAATAAAATAAATATAATGACTGCGTGATTTTTAAATATGCGAACATAGCTTTTTGTTTGCAACGATTTACAGAAACATGCGGGGAATCCCTAGCGCTGTTGAGTTTAAGTTTAAGGAAATCCCCCAACCCAAATTACTGTGGCTGTGTTCAGTGTGAGTGAACATTAATCTACCAATCTATAACAACAATGCCTAAAGTGATATCTTGTCTTGTATCCCAGTGGATAAAAACTTATCCCGAACTAAATTTAAATAATGAGGAATTATTTTGTAAAACTTGTGCCAAAGTTGTAAGTATTTTTTTTTTTAATTATGTCGTAGCGTTTTAGCCAAAAATATAAAAATTAGAGTTTTCAGAAGAGTTGCCAATGGTTTGTTCCGAAACTGTATTTCTCATAGACTTTTACACTAGGAGTTAAAAAAAAATGGAAAACTATTAAATTAAAACTAAATAAAACTATATTACATTTGATGTCCCACCTTCTTGGAATATGTTTTTACATATGTATCTAGACAATCGACAATGAAAAATACGAATCTGTTTTATAGTCTCAAAATTAAATTTTCATCTGTTAGACTATGGCTAACTTTTTAATTATTCTTTTTTAAGATAACGTGTGAGAGGAAGAAAATAAATAGAACAACATGTGAAACGTGCAAAACATATACAAAAATGTGAGAGAAATAGATTGATAACAACTATAAGAAATGTATATGTTTGCATATTTCCACATATTTTTGCATATTTTGAATAAAAAGCTTGCATATTTATGCGCATATTTCCTATAATTTGATTGCATAAAAATCCGAGCTTTAAATATAATTTAGGTGTGATCAAGTAGTCAATATAAAAAGTAGTTACGACACGTTTAAAAAGAGATCACATATTATTTTTCACATGGTAGCAGAACATGGTTGATTAAAAGAACAAAACGTGGCAAAAGTGGTGAAACTGGTGGTTGCTGAGAAGAATAGCAAAAGAATTTGAATTGGAATTTATATACAAGAAAAGTTATAAAGAATGAAGGACGTAATACGATACCGGTGTTCAATGGAGAAGATTACGGAAGCTGGAAAAAGAGAATAAACATGTATTTGAAAATGATAAAATGTAACGCAGCGGTTTCAAAAGAAAAGCAGAGTTCCGATGGAGATGATTGGGATGAGAAAAATCTAAAAGCCATCAATATTATCTACAGTGCGATCACAAATAAGCAACTGGAATTTGTGAGTGAAATAGAAGCGGCGTATGGTATTATAAAGAAATTTGATGAGTTATATTTAAAAGATTCGACAGTGTTACAGATAATTTGCAGAAATAATTTGGAAAAACTGAGAATGAAAGATTTTAAAGATATTCCAACATTTTGTAGTGAATTTGAAAAATCAGTAAATTCATTAAAAGCTGTGGGTGCAAAAGTAACGGAAAAAGAAAAAATGAATTACATGTTGCAAACACTACCAGATTCATTGAGTTATGTTGGAGATTTGGTTGGTGTTTTAAAAGAAGAGGATCAGACCGTAGAGTATTTATAAAGTAAAATAAGCTTGTTCAAACTAAAAGATGAAGAAGAATCCATAAATTGTGACCAAAAGTCAAATGCCTTTTTTACAAAGAAATAGAATCAAGAATTGTGTTATAAATGTGGGAAACCAGGCCATTTCAGGAAAGATTGTCGTCAGGTTGGTGAAGGCAGAGGTTCATGGAAACGAGGTGGAATGAAGCAGTAACAGCACAACCGAGGAAATTTCAGCCAACGAAGAGGTAATAATTATTCCCATAATTATTATAATAGAGGCAGACAACGTGATAGAGACGAACAACAAAGTTCAAGAGGTAAACATTATCACGGCGGAAGAGGTCAACCAAGGGCGGTTATGGAATGAACAGTTTTTATAGCCAGGTCCAAACTATGATGATATGTAAAGACGAAATATCAGATTTAGGTGATGAAATAGAAATTCATTGGTTATTACTAGTTATTAGACAGTGGCTATACTGATCATGTAATAAATAATGATCAATATTTTCATGATGCTGTTACATTAAAAGAACCTGTAAATGTAAGAAATGATGATGGTAAATTTCTGAAAGCCACTAAAGTAGGTTATGTAATTAGTTATTTTCAAGTTTATAATAAAATAATTCCAATTAGAATGTCAAATGTTTTTAAAGTTAAAGGAATGGATAGAAATTTAATTAGTTATGCTATAATCACAGATAAAAATAAAATTTCGTCAAAAATTTATAACAGACATAATCAATTGATTGCAATTGCTAGGAAAGAGAGTAGATTATATAAATAGTATAAATAGCTACAAATAGTAATACTAAAATTAATATGACGTTAAAGGAAAATGGCATCGTATTGTGGGTCATGTAAATGTTTTTGATTTAACAATTTTGTGTAAATGCCAATTATTAGATGGCATACCTGAACATTTCGAAACCGAGTATATGAAATGCAAAACTTGTATTGAAAATAAGATGCATAATTTAACTTTTGACAATAACAGAAGTAAAGCTAAAGAAATTTTAGAAATAATTCACACTGATTTGAATGGGCCTCATACCACCACGGGATTTAATGATCAAAAATATTTTTTGGCATTTATTGATGATTACAGTAAGATAGCTAAGATAAGCTACTACCATTAAATCAAAAGATCAGGTTTATAATTGCTTTGTAGAATATATAAATGAAAAAGAAAATCTGACTGGTTAAACTATTAAAAAACTAAGATGCGATAATGGAAAAGAATATTTAAATTCAAATATTAAACATTTAACTAGAGAGAAAGGTATTACTATAAATACCTGTCCACATACATGAATTAAATGGTACAGCAGGAAGATGTAATAGACCAAAAGGGATGAAATTCTCCATATTCCTCAAATAATTAAATAATATGTAATACAGGGAAAAGTATAAGAAAGTAAGGTATAAGTTATTACCTATAACTACGAAAGCTTTCACCGTGTGAATTAAACTAAAACTAGAAACTTTCGGGTTTTGCCGTGCGTCTTTT